CTTCGAAAAAAGCCTTGCATTTCATCCGATAGGTGAAATAGCCACTTTGCTACAAATGTCTTTGAAATGCCTTAAATCGCGATGCAAATGCCTTAAATCGCGATGCAAAAGGCACTCATTTTAAGTATACGATTTTCTACATAGGAGACAAACATCCTGACAAAATTTCAGCCACTGTTTTCCGGTAAGTTTTCAAGTTAGCACAGTAATAAGTTGCAAAATTTGACATGATCATAAGTGCGGTACAAGCGTGCGCGGTAGCTGAACTTAAAATCTTTAGCTCGCACATGCACAGAAAATATCAGCTGCAAAGTTTTAGCTTTGTACCTTGCCTGGTTCGCGAAATCGTTTCCTGCCAAAGAAATTTGCATATTTTTTTCGGGGTCTGTGAGGTCAAGGTGCATATGAAGGTGCACACGAGCGAAAATTTTAAAACAGGAAGGCGATACACGGGGTAGGACCATGCACCCAAAATTTCAGGCTCCCAGCTTTCCCGGTGGCCGAGATGAAAGTGGGTGACAAAGTTTGCTCGCTTCCAAACACACAGACGATTCAGTATGCGTTTCTGCTGGCTGTAGCAGCGCTACAGCGTTGCTATTGTTCTGCCCAGCAATAAACAGCGACGCGCGCCAAAGTAGCTGGTGCGATCATGCGTTTTGCGCAATTTTGTCTAGTCGACGCTTGTGCGACTGTGTGCAAGGAAGCCACGCTGTTAGAAATGTTTAATGCTTTATTATTTGATATGCGCAGAAATTTTTATGGTCCTCGCATTATCAGTTTTGGTGACAAAATTTCCACGTGTCCGCTTTTGGGATCTAGACATGTGCTGTGATCGAAAGGCAGGCAGAGAGAATTTTCCTAAAATACCAACTTCTCAGCTTTTGTTGTCCCCGAGTTGAAAGCTGCGGGCAAAATGCACTCACAAACAAACACATACACAGACACGCCTGAGACGACAGTTGTGACGCAGCGTAGAACGCTTAAAAACCGGTTAAACAGCTTATTAAAAGTGTAAAGGCGAATTCGTTGCCTTGCTCCCCTACCCCTCATCCCAAATGATGAAACCCTAAAAATAAAATAAAATAAAGAAAATGATTTGTCATCTTTCGATGACATTCCAATGTGACGTCGGGAATCGACGCTCCCAGCGGAAATCGGATCTCCGACAGGAGTCCGATTCCTTCGTTCCCAGACTACCTACCCTCCCGCCGCTCTTCCCATCGATGAGATCTACGATGGTCAAATCCCTTCCTTCATTCCCATGCGGAACATTCTCAATCCCCGTTATCGGAGATTGTGACTCACGATATTACTTGCAGGAAGAGCAGTATATAAGCTCGAGGATTGGATGTTCGGAGTCCGCGTTCACCTGCTTTCGGCAGTGCCGGCTGACACACTTCGCTTCGCCTGTGATCTACTTCGCTTCGCCTGTGATCTATTTAATCTTCATTCTACTCTCGTACACCTGTAACTAGTATCGTGTGTAACAAAACATCCTAATTTAGTTTGGCCCGACATTTTCCAGGGGTATTTCGATCTAATGACATACGCTGCACTTAGATTTATTGAATTCAATAAACACACTTTTTCTTAAGATAATGCCTTTAACAGCATTCAACCATTCCAGTAAATTTAAGTTACATCCAGTATTTTCTAATGCACTTGGCATTTGACACGGTCATCAGGCTCTTAATGGCTAGGAGAGCAAGTGTGCTTTCATCTTTCTGATAAAATTGCTTTCCATATTAATTTTCAGTGAGAAGCGGCGGCGCTTCAGATGCGGATGTGGCCCACAAGCAATCAGGCTGCAAATTCAAAGAACTTTTGCTAAAATAATTGCTTCTCAAAATATCTCACTATCTTGTGCTTATTCCCTACAGTGAAAGCCTCCTGAATTTCTTTCTTCATATATATTTAAATTTTTAATTTGTTAATGCACTCCCATATTCTCTGTTCAAGCATCCCACTTTGCGTTTTCACCAGTTCTCTGAAAATGGATCTACTTGCAGTGTCTCGCTCTCATACAGCACCATTGGAACATATCATACTTGCCTTATAATTATCGATAATTTGTTGCTGAGTTAGCTTCAGATGCTTCTGACAGGCGCCCTGATTGCAAAAACAACCAGTGCGCACTTCGATACCGAATAAATCGCACATTTTTTCTACCTACAAACACCAAAAAACTGACTTAAGCGACGAAATGTAGGACTAGATGTTTGTTTTTTTTTTATTTGCTTTTATTCGGGAGCTTGAATTTCTTTGTTTCGCAAGAAGTCAGAATAATGAAGATGCTACGGTATTAACACATGATAACGATAATTTGGGTTGAGAAGAGGTTAATTAACCAGTTAAAGTCCTATATAAAATGAATACTTCACTGTAGCCAATATATGATCCGTCACACCGGAGCAAATTGAAAGCAACGATTGGCCCTTGCGCTTCACTTTCATTGTAGTTCTTATGACAAAAGTAAACTTCTGCAAGTGGTTTGCCGCTTGGAAATTTCAATTCCATTAGAATCTGATATGCTGCATATGCTAGTGCGTGTGTTTTCTGCTGTATTGCTCTTATACCTCCTGAAAGTAAAGTAACAAAGTGTGACAAGAAAAGAAAGTAAGAAAAAATAAACTTACCATATCTTCCGATATCCTCAAATCCGCGTTTAAGGGCCGCGATGCCCCAAAAATCAATTGTACCATCTTCAGATCTAAACGAAAAGATGTTTCTGCAATTACAGGGCTTCTGAAATCAAATGTTTTTGTAACCAAAAGGCCTTAAAAACAGCATGATTTCTTCATTTTTTAGTGCATTTTTGCGTATACGCAAATGCTAAAACACATTTTGGCAAGAGGCTGCCTGTGTTTCTAAGTGTCCGCATTTTTTGTTACCCACTTTC